GGATTCTTTTGTTTTTCCTTTGATCTCTTTGGGGCATAAGCCCAATGATGGCACTGCAGGGTTAAAGGGTATGTGTGCTAATTTTCGTGATTGGGGGGCAGAGTTCCAAATTGCTTTCCAGAATGGTTGGACCTTCATGCCTCTACCAATGGTGCATTAATGGATCTGCTTTCAAGCAGCTCCTCCAATGTGTGTCATTTTCCGTTTTTTGTCAACTTTGCCAATCCCAAGGGGTGTATGGTAAAAATCTTGAGAGTTGCTTTAATTTGCATTTCTCTAAATATTAGTGATATGAAGCATTTTTTTCAAATGCCTATTAATAGCTTGAATTTCTTCCTTTGAAAGCTCTGGTTCATATCCTTTGACTATCAATTAGGGAATGGCTCTGGTTATTATGAAGTTGAATCACTTCCTTATACATCTTTGAAATGAGACCTTTGTTAGAGAAACTTGCTGCAAAGATTTGTTTTTTTTCCCCCAATCTTAGCTGCATTCAATTTACAACCTCTTTTTTTTAAAGTAATTATTTTCTTTAATTAACGAAAATCCCTCTTCTCCCTCCCTCTCCCTCACCTCCACTTGAAAAAGAAAGAAAAACAAGACCTTTGCAACTAATATGCATAGTCAAATAAAACAAATTCCCACATTGACCAAGTCCAAATAATTATGTCTCAGTCTGCACCCTGAATCCATCACAGCTCTACCAGGAGATGTGGGGAGCATGGCTCATTGTGAGTCCTCTGAAATCATGGTTGGTCATTTTCTTGATCAGTGTTTCAATCCCCCACTTTATAAAGAAAAAGGAGGTAGGGGAATAAAATTTATTATTTCAATTAACAAAACGATTGTTAATTGAAATAATAAAGTTTTACAAACCAATTTAAAGAGTGGTGCGAGAGAAGGAACGTACCCAGCTCCAGTGCTCTAGCTTAGATGCATTCTGCTTTTGCTTCCTTGCCCAGCTCAGTGAAAGATTCTGATCCTTCCTCTCTCCTTTTACACCCCTCATCACAACCTAGCCTCGGAGGTTAGAGTTTGTTCTGCTTAGGAATGCCACTCCCGCCCCCCCTGACATGGCTCCAGCTCTCCCGCTAGAGACACTTCTCTAAGATGGAGGCTGTTGAGGTCATCTTGTCTGGGACAGGGAGGGTCAAGAACACCCCACCTCGGCATTGTAGTGGAGCCTTCTTAGAATAATTTTTATTCATAAAATAATATGCGTTTGCTTATAAAGTAAACTAATTATATCAAAATATAGTTGATAAATATTACAGACAAAAACCAAAAACAAGTCCCTGGACCACAGGTTAAGAACCCTTGCTGGCAGAGATCTGGTGCGCCCACACTCTAAATCCTGGCAAGTCCATGGTCAGGCTCTTTCTTCAGAAGCCCCATGTAAACACATCTACCTCTTCTGTAAGGACTCTTATCAATGCCATGGCTATTGGCATATCCTAGCCATGGAAAGGCCCTTTTCAGCAACTCCCAATTTTGATGTGTTCAGAAAAGAAAAGAGAAAAGCAGAAGAAGGGTGGTAGGGGCCTGCAGGGCCAAGAACTTCCCTCCCAAGCCTGGCTTGTGCTTCTCCTGTTCATCATTCGTCTTCTACTCTCTCGAGAGTAGCCCTCCTACGCCTGCACAGCTCACTTTGACATGGGCCAGTGGAGGCTACTTAGTGCTTGTCTATCTGTGGCCATCTTGCCCTGGGCACTCCTGAACCCACCTGATACCAGAAGCTTGTACTTTGATTGCTAGACTACCTGAAAACATGAGATGCTAAATGAGAAGCCCTGATGTGGAGGACAGAGTACTGGGCATGGAGTTAGGAAGGCCTGAGTTCAAATCCTACCTTAGACTGATTTTGGACAAGTCATTTAACCTCATGGGCTTCAGGTTCGTCATCTGTATAGATAGATAGAGAAATCAAGCATTTAGTAAGTGTTTACTGTGTGACAGGTCCTTTGCCAAGCACTTGCAGAGGGGAATCCAAATAAAGCAAGCAAGGTAGCTTCTCCCCTTCAGGAGCTTACTTTCAGATGGAGGAAGACAATACATAAAGGGGGAGGTTGAGGCAGCATGCCCGGTTCTGGGCAAAGTAAGACAAAAGCTCGTTTAACCAAGTGCAGATTCCTAGGGTTGGGGGCAGTGCAGCTTAGTGTAAGGAGGTGAGGATGATGCCTGGAGTTCAGGTAGATGGTTTAGAAATGATGGCCAGGAAGTGTTGTGCAGGTCTGTTTCCAGAGCCCGTTGGACTTGGTGCCCTCTAACGTCCATCCTCATCGTATATGTTTGATCCTATGATCTTCCAACAATAGTCTGCCCCTCTTTAGCCAGTCATCAAGAGGGTAGCCCCAGTCCTGGGAACCTTTTCAGCAAGGTGCTTGTGGGCATGGAGGTTTGATGTGTGTGAAAGCTTTTTGGTTTTATATAGTCACAGTCGTTGGTTTTTTTCTTTATAGTCTCCTCTGGCCCTTGCTTGGTTAAGAATTCTGCCCCCAGCTCTAGCTGCATAAGATGGCCGCTAGTTCGCTTTTAACTTGTTTTTGTAGTGTAACCTTTGAAAATTAAGGTCACTTATCCACTTTGAGCTCAGTGGGGCCAGTCAAGGATTTAAGCAAGCATTTATTAAGTAGCTACTATGTGCTAGGCACTGTGCCAAGTGCCAGAGTTATAAAGAAAGGCAAAAACAGTCCTTGTTCTCAAGAAGTTCACTTTTTTTTTCTTTTTGCTAGGCAGTTGGGGTTAAGTGACTTGCCCAGGGTCACACAACTAGTACGTGTTGTGTGTCTGAGATCAGAGTTGAGCTCAGGTCCTCCTGACTTCAAGGCTAGAGCTCTATCCACTGCACCACCCAGCTGCCCTTGTAGTTCACATTGCAATGGAAGAGGGGATGCCACGTAAAGAACGAGAAACATACAAAACCTATACAGAGGGGAGGCATGGCACGAAGGCGAACAATGCAAGGTCTCCTACAGGCTTTAGGAAATGTAGAGAAACCGAGAGGCAGAGCTGAGGAAAGAAAGTATTTCAGGCCTGAGAGAGAGCCAGTATAAAAACATGGAGCTGGGATAGGGCAGAGTGTCTCATGTGAAAAAGAGCGAGTAGACCACTGTGGGCAGACCATGGATCACAATATGGGATGAAAGGAGTAAAATCTATGACAAGGAAGGGACTGGGTTGGGAAGAGCTTATATTAGGGGGTAAAAGGGGGGGGGGCATGGTCAGATCTATGCTTTAGAAAAATTACCATGGCAGCTGAATGAATGAAGAGACAATAAGGTCCTGAGACAGGATGGCAGGTGTGTGAGTGGAGAGGAGGAGGCATACATGAGAGCTGCAGAGAAGGAAGAGACAACAAAACTTGGCATCTGTTTGGATATGTGTGAGGAGTGAAGAAGGAGAGACCATGGGTCATTGGGAGGATGGTGGTGTTGTCCACAATAATAGGGAGGTTTAGAAGAGGGGAGAGTTTGTAGGGGCAGGTAACGAGTTCTGTTTAAAATATGTCAAGTTTGAGGTACCCACCTGACACTGAATTTGGGGTGTCCAAAAGATAGTTGGTAACATGGGGCTATAGCTCAACAGAAATGGGGGGAGAGGTTATAATAGGGACAACTGGCGGGAAAGGATGGGGAGGAAACAGGATCAAGAGTATATGTAGGGAAATTGGATTTGGCAAAAAAAAAAGTCCATCTCTTCATTCAATATAGGAATGAAAGAGGAGATAGCAGGGTGCGGGAGATATCTGAAGGACACAGTGCAGAACGGCCTCAATTTTTTCAGTGAAGTAGGAGACAAGGACTTCAGCCAAATGGATGGTGGTACTAAGAGAAGCTTGGAGAAGGATGAGAATATTTGGAACAGCTAATAATAATAGTGAATTAGAGAGAGGTGGAAAGATTTCTTGCTGCAATTAGGGTCTAGTTGAGATTAGAAAATAAAAATTCCGTGGACCCTATCAGCATGGTTGGGACACAGCAAGATAGGATTGGTAATAGACTTAAGGAGGCAAGAGATTTGAGTGTAAAACATGCAGCCCATGGCTGCTTCTGCTCACAACACTCCCCAGTGTGGCCCAAACCAGATTCAAATGTAATTGGGAAATATTTAACAAAATAAAACTACAGTAAAACATAGATAATATTAATATGTCATGTTCTAAGTCAATATGTGAATTGGAGAGATCTTTATGTATGATTCGGTGGCCCCCGTTTCTATTTTGGAGGCAGCTAGGTGGCGCTGCTGTAGATAGAACGCTGGGTCTGGAGTCAGGAAGACCTGAGTTCAAATCTCAGTTCTATCACTTATTCCCTGTGTGACCTTGTATAAAGTAATCAGGCAACTTCTCTGGGCCTTAGTTTCCCTCATCTACAAAGTGAGTGTGTTAGACAAGATGACCTCTGACCTCTAAGGTCTTTTCTGGCTCTAAACCTGTGACTATGCTAAGTTAAGAGAAGGGCAGGCCCTTGATTAGGATGCTTAAGACACAATTTATTTGACTATATTATCTTACACATCTGGGAAACTTTGCTTTTTTGTAGGACAGCTTGACTTGAGATATGAAGACATATAGTACCTTATAATTGATTATAAAATCTACTGTAGCCCAAAGCCCTAACTGTGGTGTGTGTGTGTATGTGTGATAGATACACACACACACACACACACACACACACACACACACACACACATGTATATGTCAACCAGAAGGACCTAAAACATAAAGAGATTTTTAAAGAGGCAAATCTATATTAACTTCAATAGCACTTGAGGTGTTTTTAAATGAACATTTAATTAAAATTTAGCCAAGTGATAATATGTTAATTAAACCCTTATTGTTGCATCAGACCTCTTATTGAGTTTAATAACTATGTAAGAGATAGGAATCTAGTTTCCCTGCAGTTTCTATCACATTAGAAAATATATAATCAATTTAAAAAGCAACAGTATTGTAAGACTGGAACACAATCTAACTAAGATGGTTGTATCTGGTCTTTCAGGCACATCCAGTCTGCTGTTCACAGGACTGCAGAGTGAAATTCCACACATCCATGCAAAGTGGCAGCCACCCACAGTTCCTCCACCTTTCCACAACTTCCCAGAAGAAGGTATGTTTGAAAGTGCCATGATCCTAGTGAAGGGACATATATACCTTTGAATCCCTGGCTTTCTGGGCCAAGCCAAGGTAAAGAGTGACCTTTGTCTCTGGTGATCCAGCCTCTCAGAGCCTAAGTTTCCGATGTAATAAGGGAGCACATAGCCAGCTCCCATGGGAGAGAGCATGTGCACAAACTCAGGGGTGGTCTATGGAATGTTTTGTTACAGTTTGGCTGAAGTGCCGAGTGCCTGAACGTGGGAATGTGGGAGAAGCGTGGAAAGGGAGACTGGAGCCACTTGGTAAAGGGCTTTAGATTCCAAAAAGAGAAGTCTGTATTTGATCTGATGAGGTGATAGGGAGCCACTGGTGGTTTCTGAGCAGAGGAATGCCAAGCTCAGAGTTGTGCTGTGGGAGGATCACTTGGCAGCTCTGTAGAAAAGAAAGAAGCTGTGGGCAGGAGGCTACTGCAACAGCCCAGAATAGGGGTGGTGGCTGTGTGCATAGAGAGAAGGCATACATGAGGAACTGAGGTTACAGAAGTAACAAGGATTGACAACTGATTGGATATGGTAGGTGAGAGCAAAGGAAGAGCCAGAGGTGACTGAAAGTTTGTTGTTACCCTCCACATAAGTGGGTAAGTGAGGAAGGAGGTGTGTTTGAGTGGAGAGATAATGACTTCTGGTTTGGACACATTGAGTTTGGGATGCTCAGTGGAGTTCAAGTGGAAAATGATTACTGAAGCTCACACCTGAGGTCAGGGCCCAATAGAGTGGGAGCTACCTTGGAACCTAGGTATAATGCCCCCACCACAGGTGGCCATCCATTAGTAGTCAGCTAGTAGACCTTATTAGCTTTTAGCAAAAGCATTTACTAAGACTGTACAGTGCAAACAGTTGGTATAAAACATCCCCCACCCAGCCCCACAAATATACATAGTGTCCATGAGAAGAGCCCAATGGTAGTGAGGCACATGCGTAGGATACACATGTGGGCAAGGAGTAACACAGGTCCCTGAGCCTGTGGCCTGGGAGGCCTTTCTGGAGTCGATAGCCAGCATTCTTGTGTATCTATTAGAGCCAAATCACGTGTGGTTACATTGTTGTGGAAGCAGAGGGAAGTTCTTTGCCATATACTGGTACTCTTTTGGTGGATTTAGTTGAGTGTGTCTGGGACTTCTTTGACTACACAGAGGGGGAGGAAGGAAGTGCCTTGTGGCCCTTGCCCTTAAGGGATGAGAGGGCATATCTTTATGTGTTCATTGATGGCAGGGAAGGAAGCCTTAGTTAGGGGAGAGATTTAAGATGAGAGCCAGTTGGATGGGGATGATTACAGGAGCAGTCTGTTGGAGAAGTGCCTACCTCTTCATCAGAGACTGGAGCAAAAGAGGAGAAAAAAGAGGCTGATGGCAGGGAGTGGTGACATGTAGAGTAGTGGAGAAAATGTAGCTTTTATTTTGTCAGACAAGTATGAGGCAAGGACTTCTGCTGAATGGGAGGACTGAGTTATAGTTGGATTGAGTGTAGACTACAGTAATTGGACTAGTTGCTGTGGGAAATTTGACAGAGAAGAACATTAGGGAAGAGCAAAGGGATTACCTTACTGCCGTGATGGCCTATTTCAGATTAGGAAACATGTGTCCTTAGTGGACCCACTCAAAATGGTCAACGTGACTTCCAGCAGCACTGCCTGGCAGTACACTGAGTAGGACTAGGGGAAGAAAGTGAAGCCAGAACAGAGGCGGTGGCAAGAGAGAACGCAGAATTGTGGGGAGACTAAAAGTCACAGTGAGGACAAGGAGCAGATATAACAGCGTAGAGGCGGCAAAGCCTAGGACCAAGCCTGAGAAGTCCTAAGGCTTGGTCCTGGCTGTGCCACTGACTTGGGTGAGACCTTGGACAGATCGTTTCCCCTCCATTTCCACATCTCTAAAATGGGAAGATCTCTACCATTTTATTATCTTTTTTTCATCAGAAAGGATCCCTTACCTGCCTTAGGAAGCTATTGGGAAACCTGTCTCGATAGGAAATCACAGAACGTTGGAGATGGAAGGAAGGCAACTTTATAGAAACCAGGCTGTCCTATCCTGTCATGTTAGAGATGGGGAACCCAAGGCCAGGAGAGGCTAAGGGAATTCTGGAGGGCATTCCAAGCCAACCTTGATACCACTTTTTTGGGAGAATTTTGATTTTTATTTTTGTTACTTGTTGGGTACAACATCTTCCTGTCCATATGCAAGGCAGGCATCTCACCTTAATGCATCAGAGGCATATGGTGATCCAAAAGGGCCATCCCAAGTCAGAGTATAACAGCAGGAAGAAAGGACCCATGCATTTAATTACAATATAGCCATAATCATAAAGGCATTTGAGAAAAAAGGTGCAAAAGTGGTATAGCTCAGGGCAGCCATAAAAGGGGCTACCATTTGCATGCATTTTATGATCCTATTTACTCCTTTCCTCGTTAAAAAATAAAAGTGCTTAGTATAACAACTGTCACATTACCTTGGGCTAAATACGAGGGATCTGTGGTTATTGTGGTGGTGGTGTTTTGTTTTGTTTTTTCTTTTTTTAAAGAACATAATTATAGCATGATGTGCATCACTGCATGAAGACAGAAAGCCAAGATATTATTCAGTTAGTGCTTGGTATGTAGTGGACAGTCAAAAGATATGGTAGGTTCCAGTCTTTTCTTTCTAATGTGTGTTTGACCATGAACATGCAGTCAGGTCCCTTCTCTAGGCCTCAATTTCCTCATTTATAAAATGAGAGTGTTGGACTGTATGAGAGACAGAGTAGATGATTCTTAAGGTCCTTTCCAGTACTAATGCCCTGAGAGATGGAGAACAGTTATCGGATTACACCTCCCCCCATGCCACCTTTTCCTCCCTGAGAGCATGTAAGCATTCGATGCCCAAGGATATGGGAGGGGGGTACAAAGCAGGGCAGTGAGACCCTTCCCCCACTTGAAGTTTCTTGGTTCTAGCCTTGCTTTGATCAATACTTGGCCTTTACGGTTTGTCAGTTTCTATGATTGGGTGACATCTCCACAGGTATCAGTGGGTCTATCCTATTGGTCGTAGTTTGTTTGCATACTCTGGTTGAAATTTAGTGACTCTCCTACTGGGAATTTGCTCTTACTTACAATTTGGATCTCCTCAAATCTTCTGAAAACATCCTTTTAAAGGTCACCATTAGAATATTGCGTTATACTGCATGAGATCCACAGGCCAGAAGGCATTGGGCTTATGAGGTTCTTTAAGTCCATGCTTATTGCAACTGAGGCTCAAGAGCCAGAGAATAGTCAGGTCTGCGGTTAGAGACAATCGATCCAACACAGGAAAATCCCCGGAAGGCTTCTGGAGGCTGCAGTCGTTGGCCATCAATGTGGCTCTTGCTTATGTTCTCCCGCTAGGCTTGAAAGCACAAAGGCCTGACCTTTATAGCCTCTTTCCTCAGATTTTCCATTTGGGTAAATTGCTAGGCAAAATGATGCTGTCTTTGGTGCCTCCGTCTTCACTATTCCCTTATTGTCTCTGTGGCCATGGGCAAGTCTCTTTACCTCTCTGATCCCAGTTCATCATCTGCAAAACTGAGATGAGAGTTGTAGTGTTTACTTAGCTCCTGGGGTGACTGTGGGGCTGAAAGGAGATAATGCATGGAGAGTGCTTTGCACACCTTAAAGTAGCATAAAAGTGTCAGTTACTATTATTCTTCACAGTGTTAGTTCTTCTAGGAGCATTTGCATTTTAATAGATAACTTTGGGAGAATGAAAATCCATTAAGACCACAGAATATTATCAGGAATCTTAGAGCATAGATTATTAGAGTAAGAAGGCACCTTGGAGAGCAAATCTTACCACTTAATGGGTAAAAGATTGAATTTCTCCATGGAAATCCAGGCATTGTAACAAATGGAAATATTCTTGGCCAGTCTGGAGCCATTCAGACTAATCACAGGAATGACTCCCCATGCTAGTAATCAACAACAAGTCACTCAGCATGTATTAAGTGCTTACTATATGCCAGGCATTGTGCTGCACCCTGGGCATACAGAGAAAATTGGAAGCAGTCACTGCCCTGAAAGAGCATAAATAGGAGGCAATCTCTGAAGAAGGGCGGCAGGGGGGAAGAGAAAAGGCCTCTGGTAGAAGCCTAGAAGGAAGCCGGGAAAACCAGGAGGCAGATGTGAACAGGGAGAGCATTCCAGGCATGGGGGACAGCCAGTGAAAAGGCACAGAATGGGAGATGGAGTGTTTTGTAGGGGGAACAGTAAAGATGCTAGGGTGACTAGGTTGTAGAGCACATTGGAGGTAGGAAAGTATATATGTCAACGCAGGAAAGGTAGAAGGGGCCAGTTCAGGAAGGGCTTTAAAAGACAAAGGATTTTTTATTTGATCTTGGAGGTCATAAGGAGACACTGGAGTTGAGTGTGTGTGTGTGTGTGTGTGTGTGTGTGTGTGTGTGTGTGCAGGGGCTGATGTGGTGAAAACTACACTGTAGCAAGATCACTTTGGCAACTGAGTGGAGGGAGAATGGACTAGAATGGGGAGAGATTTCAGGCAAGCAGACCAACCCACAGGCTGAGGTGATGAGGGCCTATTCTAGGGTGGTGGCTGCATCAAAGGACAGAAGAGAAGGAATGTGAGAGATGTCGCAAAGTTAATAGTGTGAGTACATGGCAACAGCTTGGCTACATGGGGCAAGCAGGAGTGAAGAATCAAGAAGGACATCTTGGTTGTGAGTAAGAGTGATCAAGAGGGTGGGGGCCTCCACACTAATTGGGAAGGTGAGAAGAGGGGGAAGGTTTGGGGCAAGGATAATGAGTTCTGTTCTGGACATGTTCAGAACATCCACTTCAAGATATCCTATAGGCAGTTGGTGATGTGAGAATGGAGGTCAGAAGAAAGGTGAAGGCTAGATAAAGAGATCTGAGAATCTAATATGTTGAGATGAAACGAGAGCCAATGAGATCACCGAGTAAGATAGTATAAAGTACAGAGTTATGCAGCAGGCTTTTTAATTAATTTTTTCAATTAGCAGAAATGTTTTTCTCCCTCTATCCCCACTGGAAAAGAGAGAAGGAAAAACCCTCATAACAAATAAACACACAGTCAAGTAAAATGAATTCCTGCATTGGCAATGTCCAAAAAATATATGTATAACTTATTCTGTACCCTGAGTCCATCACCAGTCAGAAGGTAGGCAGGATGCTACAGAAGACATCAGTCTTCTGTAATTGTGGTCAGTTCTTGTATTGCCCAGAGTACCAAAGTCTTTCAAAATTGTTTGTCTTTACAATGTTGTTGTTATGGTACATATTGTTTTCTTGGTTCTACTCACTGCATACAGCCTTTGTTGGTATTGTGTGGCCTGAGGGCATGCACAGTACAAAGTGCACATGCTTTGTGTTCAGAACCAAGGCTGCAGGCGGGCAAGCACTGCCAGAAACACCTCAGATGCATTACGTGCTTGATTTTTAATTAAGTTTTGGTCACTGCACATTCAGAAACTTTTTATGGTTGCCAAATTTTTCTCAACCCTACATGGGGTCGAGACCCACAGTTTAAGAAGCACTGGTTAGAGGGAAAAGAGAAAAGGACTAGGAACAGTTAGTGGGACCTGGATAAAGATTCAGCCAAGGACACTGAGAAGGGGTGGTTGGTCAGATAGTAGGAGAACCAGGGAGAGGAAAGGGGATCCAGGAGAAGGTGGTCGATGGTATCAAAGGATGCAAAGAGGACAGACAAGAAGCTGAAAACTGCTGCTAACTTTAGAGAGAGGTGGTTGAGCTGAATGAAGAGTTTGGAATCCAAATTGCGGAGAGGAAGACGTGGAAGTGACGCTTAGCGATGGCTAGCTCAAGGAGGTTAGCCACAAAAGGGGGGGGGGGCGGGACACATAGTATGCCAGGGAGGCTGAGGAGATCAAGTGAAAACTTTAAAGGATGGGAGTGTGTTTATAAGCAGCAGAGGAGCAGCCAGTGAACAGGGATATTAGAGGGAGCAGTCTTCTGGAGAGGACAAGGGGAAAATGGGATCATCTGTGCATGGAAAAGGATTAGTCTTGTCAAGAAGAAGGGCCTCCTTTTCTTGTGCATCAGGGGCAAAGTGATGGAGGGCATCGCAGCTGAGGGAAGGGAGATATGGAGGGTGGGGGGATATGTTGGCAAGCAAATTTAATCTCTTCTACATGACAGCCCATGGAGCACTTGATACAACTATCATCACCACCCCCTGCCCCAAGTCTTCTTTTCTCCACAACAAACTTTGTTCATTCCTTCCAGTGAACCTTGCCCTCTAGACACCATGTTGGTTGTCCCCAAATGCATTCCAAGTTGTCAACTGTAGACACTGTCCAATACCTTTTTTAAAGGAGTTCTCAGAGCAGACTATAATTTTCAAGGTGTAGTCTGACCAAGACAAGATAGAGGGGGGACCATTAGCACCTTTGGTCTGAATAGGATGTGCCTCTCAATGAGTTTTTATGGCTGCCGTGTCACTATGTTTACTTCATATTGCTGTTCAATACTTAATCAATGCATCTGTGATCTCATTTCTCCCAGCAGTGGAGCTCAGAGCCCTATTCATTGAGGAGCCCTTGTACAAAGTTATCTGGCTTGCATCTTTCAAGAAATCACATAATAACTTAATGAGCAGGGAATTCATTGGCATAGGGACTATATCTTGTTCTTTTAAATCAAATGCTTTTATTTTATAGTCAACAAACAGAACAGTAGGATTCTACCATCTCTACATGTTTTAGTTTGTTAGGTAAGTGGAAAGCTGTTCACTGCCATAGAATATTGCTTGTGAAAAACCTGCCTGTTGCTGTCCCATATTTTCACTGTATGTTTATTTTCAAAGTGAGAGGGTAGGTCAGTACTGATCTCTGTGTGGTCACCTTGCTTTTGGGGGAAGTAGTAACATCTCTGTTTCCTTTCCCCCTCTTTCAGATCTTTGCTAAGAATCACTCACTTGATGCCCTCACAAGCATGATGCTTCCAGAACAGACCCACCGTATGTATACTTGAAGTGGTCGAGCTATTCTTCCTACCTTATGAAGTACAGAAGTCATTTTTACAACTTTAACAAGAACAACAACACAGGTACTATTCGCAGGTAGATCTATGCCATAAAGGATTCTCAATGTGGCGCTGTCCTTTCCCTCCCTCAGAGCCTCAGTTTCTGCATCTGTCAAATGAGACGGTTGGACTCTGTCATCTCCCTCTTCATCCTACCATTCTAGGACCAAGCCATAGTGAGGATCCCATTCAAGTGCTCAGGTAAAGGACATGGGCCCAATACAGATGTGAAGAATGCCTTTTATTCAGGAAAATCCCATTGCCTTCCATGACAATTTCAAGTGTATGTTCTCATCATCTCTGACTGGGCAGCATCTTCCCAGTTTATCACACAATCCCAGAGCTGGAAGAGTCCTTACAGATAATTTAGCCTTCCCCCTCCTTTTACAGGAGAGGAAACTGAGATTCTGAGCAGGGAAGTACTTCTCTGAGGGTCCCACAGCTGACATGTGGCAGTATTGGCACATTTAGCTTACTTTGAAGTTTATCTGGATGCTAACCCCGCACCACTATGCAGCACACACAAATAAACACCACTGATGGAGGAATGCGGCAGCCAGGCAGTCCCTTGTGAACCCTGAAGAATCCTTTATGTTCTTCACCCTTCCTGTATTTGATTTTTAAGATGGGATTTTTCATCTATAAGGTTTTCATAAAGTGAAATTTGAATTCCTTTCTTTGAAGTGTGATCTCCCTGTTGTGGAGCGGAGAATGCCTGTGAAATTGACCTATAATGAGTGAATGCGCTCCTGATATTCACAATCATTTTCATTTGACCCGTGCCATAAGAACTTCACATTATTATTTCATTTTTAGCAGTGTCAACAAGTCCTTTACAGTGGAAGGCCTTTTCTTACAATGCTACTTGAATTGTGAATATTAAATACCTATGCTACTGAATTTCTTGCATAAATTGGGCAAGATAAACTCTTTATTGGCCCCCCAAAAGGCTCATACATCTGAATGCCTCAAAGTGGTCAAGGAGCACATTCATGGATACTAAATAAGACTGACTGAAGCACACAAAAAGCCTTGCTCCAAGAATGTTCACGAGAGGCATCATGGGAAACTATCTGGATTTGGTTCCCACCTCTGCAGTTTACTAGGTGGGGGAAATCATGGCCACGTCTCTTAACCTCTCTGAGCCTTAGTTTCCCCATCGGTAAGATAGTGATAACAGGGCATCCCTGCAAGGGCTGTTGGGAGGCTCAAATGAGATAAACACATAAAGCACAAATCACTTAAATATCAGCGTTTGTCATCATTTACCTGGTGAGAGTGCTAATTTGAGAGGACGAGGCCAACCAGAGACAGAAATAGAATTATGTTACAGAGAAGAGAATTGAGGGCCAAAGGGAAAATGACTTGGAAAGCAGTCCCCCAAACCGTTGTGTTATACATGGTTCTCCTGCTCTGTCATGTCATTTTGATGTTATAATTCTCTTGCCTCTTTTATGCTCTTAAGAATTCCTAGGATGGGGCATAGGGGGAATGGAGGATAACCCCAAAATGAGCCAAGAAATGTGGGCCCACCTATCCCAATTGGATGCCAAAGCAAGGCTGAACCACTACTTTGGGATATAAAATGCAGCTGTTTGGTAATAAAGGGAGTTGGGAATTCTCCTGGGTAATCAACTCTGTGACCTCCAAGCTGACTCTCGCCTTCCAGGGATGTTGGGTGAGTTGAGCCCCACACCTGGTAGTAATGATGGCAAATGTTCTGGAATGTTTAAGATCCCAGCATGCTGACATTCTCAGAGGCAAGTGTACAACATGCCTCAGCATCGAGGCTAAAAGTTCCAGGTGCAAAGGGAGAGATTTATGGCATGCTCTCCATTCCAATTTTCTTTAATGCCCCAACCCACTGGAGTCCTTCACGTGACCGGATCTAAATGCACTGCATCGTGCCTTGCCAGGGCTGGGGAATGCTCCCGAAGCATCACTTCTTCAATTACAGCAGTTAGTAACAAACACGCAAGCCTGAGTTTGGAGACAGAGCGAAGTGGCACTTTGTCTTTGACGCTCTTTGGTGAGCGATGCCAGTTGTGGAGTTGTCCCGAATGTGAGGTGGCGTGCTCAGTCCAAAGAGAAACAGGTTCTGCCCAATAGCAGGCACTGAGCTAGGAACCAGGAGATCCGTGGTGGTTGTTCCCAGCTGGCCCCTTTTACCCTCTTGGGGCCCATGTCTCCTCATTTGTAAGGTGAGAAGTTTGGATCCTTCCAACTCTGACTCAATGACTCGGAGCAGAGAGGAGGCTAGCTCATTGGAGCTTGTATGCCCTCTTCCTTTAACACAAAATTGAAAGCACTGTATGTAAAAAATAGCTATTATTATTTAATCTGCATATATGTATTACACATGTGGGGAAGCTAGATGGTGCAGGGGATAGAACACCAGGAGGACTCATCTTCCTGGGTTCAAATCCGGTCTCAGATAATCACTAGTAGTGTGACTCTGGGTAAGTCACTTCACCCTGTTGGCCTCAGTAAAATGAGCAAAATGGGCTGGGAAAGGAAATGGCAAACCACTTCAGTATCTTTACCAAGAAAATCTCAAATGGGGTCACGAAGAGTCAGACACGACAGCTGAACATTACATGTTATACATACACACGTGCATGCACACACACAGAAAGACAGGCATCATGAATAGAGTTCATCTTAGACTCAGGAAGACTTGGGTTCAAGTCCTTCCTCTTACATATACTAACTGGGTGACCCTGGACAGGCAAGTCCATGACTTGACTACTCTCAGTGTCCCAGAGGGAGGGAGGAGGCTCCATATCACAACCACAGGTCTCAACTACTAGTCAGCTCCATTTACCATGTATGTTAGACAGGAGGAAGGCAATAATTAAGTGGAATTGCAGTAGATCTTGAAAATATTTTACTTCAGACACATAAACAAAAACTGTTACCTAATCTAAGATACAGAAACCAAGTACTGTGTATTTTAACACAGTGACAGTGGGTATGAGATCATGTACTTCTCATATGTCAAGTACTAGGGGGAGGCAACAAGCCAGCTCACCTTGGCCATTTTCCCCTTTGCCAAAGAGCCTGACTTCACATTTGGGCAGACAATGCATTTGAAGCTTTCTTGAATACCAAGCAGAACAGGGTTTGGTACTTCATGCTCACAGCACCGCACGAATTCCTCAGTGGCTCTAGGCCCCCAGCATTATAATTCCAGCTTGAACGGTATGAAGGGGCTGTGGTTGTTTTTGATGACTGTGGCAATTTTTTCTAGATGGATGCTGCAGAATTGGGTGGAGCACAGCATTCGTATCCAGGAAAGATAATACAAATGTTCTCTGGTTCTCAATATAGCAAACTCCTATTTATTTAAAATGACATGAATTATAAAGAACAAGGTTGGCCTCAGATAAGTACAACGCACTTCCTACCCCACTCCTTTGTAGAGGTGGGGGTCCATGGGTGCAGAATATTGCATATGAAATCAGATTTTTAAAAAAGAATTGTTTGGTTTTGCTGAATTTTTTCACTTCTTCCTCATTTAAAAACTCTGCTGTCATGGAAGTTTCTCTGGGAGAGGAGCAACACAGGGAGTGAAATGTAGGCAATGTAGACAAAATATGTCACTAAAATTACTTAAAAATAAAAGGATGTGAGCTTCTCTGGATACTCTGGTCAGCTGAGGCTTAGCAGAGATGACACTTTCAATGAAATACAGGAGCTGGTTTTGGTGGGGCTCTGTGGATTGGCTGGCATAAGAAGATCAGCAGTTCTGTAACCTATGATCTTATCTTGAATGTCTGAACTCTTTTAGAATCATAGATTGGAGTAGCAGAGCCAGTATGTAAAATGACGTCTTTATTATGAACTTTCAGCACATTGTTTTGTTTTTACAATTAGACCGCCCTCTCCACAGAGGCAAGGCCTATCTTGTAATCACTATGTAGCAGCCACAGGTACCACGTGCTACTTTGCTACCACGCCTCTTTCTGTTGCCATTTAGGGCAGCTCTGATTCTTTGGAAACTGCAGTTCTAAGATGTATGAGTCACTGTCTCTGCTCCCAAATGCCGTTTGTTGGCCTGCTCCATTTGGGGCTTTAGTCACTGTCCTGTCCCAGATTTTATAAACACCATCCGAGAGACTAACTCAGTGAATTCGCCGTTCCACTGCAGGCCATAGTAAGTGCAACAGCTCTCTTCCATCCATTTGGTTCTTCTACGTAGGTTAGTAAAGGATGTCCAAAGGGCATCTAGTACAAATGGTATCTGAAAAGGAATTCCTGCTGCATCCGTCCTGTTGAGAAATCCTCCAACTACCTCTGGAGGCAGCTCATTCTACCTGTACACTGTTCTAACTGACATAGGATTGAGAAGGTACCTTGCTTTTTTTTTTTTTTAATTCTCTGGCCATTCCCGGGCACTTAAAACTCTACAAACCACAGTTATTTTACCTCTCAATTTCCCCAAACCAAGTAACACCCCAAGGCGTGTTGTCTGCCAGACTGAGCTGTGTGCCTTTGGGGGGTGGGCGGCAGGATCCCTTTCCACACAGTTCACTTTACTATATAATGATTTGGCTTTCACCTATGGGGACAAGTGACACCCGAGTATTTCTCACTTGCTTGGCAGATCAAAGGGGAGAAAAACAACACCGAGACTGAAATGTCAAGCGCCTGCCTTTTTGCTTACATATGTGTATTTAAAAAACAAAAACAGGACTTTTGAAATCAGGGAATTGAAGTTTCATGTGCACCGCAGCTACCCTGTTTTTATTGGATCCAAATGCTTCACTGACAGATCCGAGGCCCATCCAAAGAGTTGCTTCTGGATAAAGTTATTTACACTGAAGTATGACCCAGAAGGGCAACAGAACAGCTAAGTACTCTGGGTAATCCTAACAGGCAGCTCTATTTTGCTCCAGATCATTTAGATTAAAAAACCTTTCTGATAACTTCAAAGCTACTTTTCCCCAGCATGCAATGAATAGTGCTAGTTTCCATGAAAATAGGAATTTGAAACCTCAACCCTTGATATCAATATATCAGGAAATGGGACCTAGCATTTGACCCCCTTTTCAAAGGCCTTTGGAAAAACTGGCCCTGTGCTGTGCTTATAGAATGTTGAGACCCAACGACAAGAAACAACAGCATATACAGCCCCAGAAGGTCAAAGTTGGTTTGTTGTTGTTGTTTTAACATGTTAATACTATCTTTTGTTTTTATATTGCCTTCATTTCTGAATATGTGTATAGCTCCCACATTCATTTCAGAGTGCTATCCCTTTATAACAAAATAGAAAAAGAGAAAGAGTTCAGCAAATCGAACCAGCACTTCAGCTGATTCAGACACCAGATAATAATGTTCCTCACCCACAGTCCCTCACCTCTGCCAAGCTTAGTTGTTACCTGAAGTCAAAAAAGCCTGCCTTTGTATCCTGCCTCAGACACTTCTCAGCTCTGTGACCCTGGGTGTGCACATCTTAAAGCACTTATAGAAAGGCCAGACACTATTCTTATTTATATTGTTTCCCTGGTTATGCTTACTTTGCTCTCTGCCTCAGTTCACATGAATCCTCCCCCCCCATCTCTTTTTTCTTCCTGTTTGATGATGCCATTCTCCAATGGAGGGACTGAGTCTGCTGGGCTTCCACTTTTTTACTCCTACAAAAAATCTTGCAGTGAACATTCACTTCAGGCTCTTCTCAGTTTGGACCTCCTTGGGCTGTGTGCCTGGCCAGGGGATAGCTGGCCCAAAGGGTCCTCAGCTCTCTGTCTTCTGGTCTCTTCTCAGTGCATGTTTGCAGGTATATAAAATAGGCTTCTCTATTTCCATGTATGTGTAAGCTCATCTCTATGGAGCTAGTTCTAGATGTGGATATAGCTGGTACCTACCTCTATCTTTTCCTGTTCTTGGTGGCTAGTGGCTTCTTTGCTGGGACCCCACACATACTTCAAGGTGCTATGGTTGGTGAATTTTGACCTGTTATAACCTTTTCCAAAGGGCCCCTCCCCCCCCACGCTGCTACTGCTCTCACTAAAATGATTTTAGTTTACACTTCCTGTTCTGGGCAAATGTTAACCCAGTCCCTTACTTAACACTGAATCAGTGTCTTCCAGTACATGTCTAGTCACTGATTCACAGCTAAAGCTCCTGCAGGGAATTCAATATATGTAACGCTTACTACATCCTAAAAAAGAAACTCCCCATTTGGAAGAGGCCTTTCCTAAGTAGAAGAAACATTTGCATTCCTCGTAGTTTATTGTGATCTTTGGTGTTTGCAGGTAAAGGGTGAAGAGTTTTGCTTAGAGCATAGACACTTACAACCTCACAGGTGTCAGGGTAAAGATACTGACAGTTTTGCATCCAAAAGGGAGCATAGCAGAGTGGATAGAGACCTGACCCTAGGTCTAAGTCCTACCTCTGACACCTACCTACTGGGCCACCTATTACTGCCCTCATCCCCAGCTCTTACAGTATGCTGATGGTTCAGTAAGGATGCCTTGGCCTTCCCCCCCATTCTGAGACAACACTGGCTTCTTCCAGTGGTGTTCTCTGGATCAGGAGGACTTGAGCTGGACAGGCTGCTTATCCTGAGAACACAGCTGCCTTTCTTGGTTACTTGCTAAATGTGTGTTATTCTTAGGCTAATTATGAGAGCTTTCCCAGGATAGTATCTCCTCCCAAGGCCACTGAATGTATACAAAGACTTCCCATGCACTCGGCCACATGAAGCAGTATTCCCAAACCTTCAAGGCCAGATTATGAAGTCAATTTGTACAGATAAAGAAGTTTTCCCCCTTCTCTCTTAGGTTCAAATTGCACTCTGCTAAAGGTGACTGCTCCTGAAGAACTTTCTTCTGAAGATATAGAGGAGCTGACAGAATAAAAAAGACCCATCCCTGACCTGGGAGGAATGTGAGAGGCAGTCATATTATAGACCCCTTCTCCATCATTTTGGGACCTGGACAGATACACTGTATCATTCTGATAATCCAATTTTAAGAGGCAAGTAGTGTGGCTGGCTCTTCTTTCACTTTTTGCTAGGGTGATAGTAACATCTACTACCCAACTATCCATTTAGAGAGCATTTGATCCTAACTACTGGGGAAGGAGAAGGGGAACTGGATCACCTCTAAATGGTGATGGGGTGTCCTTGTGGCACCTTACTAATGCCCACTTTCTAGGCCTCTAAGACTTAGACACCTAGTAACTAATTGAGGGGTTTAGGCCAATGGCTCCCTAAGACTAGGGATTGACTTCTCTAGGCTCCCTTCAGACTTTAAGACTTCAATTCCTAAGCTTAGTATCATAGACAGCAGGCTAATTTAGTTCTCTACCTTCCCAAAGAGATGGGAACCTCCAATGAGAGGCTATGCTTGGCAAGCTGTTCCTGTGTTATAGAAGTGTGAGCTATTATCATTTCTCTCTCCATAGCTCTTACCTCTCTTTCTTTAAGTTTCAATCATTTCCCATGTTTTTTCCTTTAAGGTATTAAGCTTAATAAGGCTTATAAGCATGCTGTCTAGGAGCTTTAATTGTACTTCTCTAAATTTAGGCTAATTTCTTCACATTTCAATCTGTAGACCTAGATTAGAAACCTAGAAACTTAAGAAATCTACAGAACTAAGTCTATATACTTAGTGACCTCAGAGACTCAATATTTGGAGCTCTGAAAGTGGAAGACTTAGACCTGGACTCCCTTCCCTAGGTCCAAGAACTAAGGAACTACACACTTAGAGCTTTAACTCTAGATCACTAAGATTTCACTTATTTAATACAATTGTACTTATTTTCTCTCTTCCTTCCCCCTAGCAAAAATGAAAAATAAAACCTTGGCAGCAAATAGGCATAGTCAGGGAAAACAAATTTCCATATTGGCTGTATCCAAACATGTATGTCTCATTCCTCATCTCGAGTCATCGAGTCACCTTCTTTCAAGGAGGTAGGTAACATTCCTCATTGGTCCACTGGAATCTCAGTTGTTCATTGCATTGAGCAGAGTTCTTAAATCTTTCAAAGTTATCTAGCTTTACATTGTTGTAACTATTCTATAAGTTGTCCTCCTAGTTCTACTCACTTTCCTCCTCATCAATTATACAAGTCTTCCTATGTTTCTCTGCAACACTCTCTCTCTCTCTCTCTCTCTCTCTCTCTCTCTCTCTCTCTCTCTCTCTCTCTCTCTCTCATCATTCCTTATGGAACAGTAATAGTCCATGACATTCATATAGCATTACTTGTTCAGCCATTCACCAATGGATGGGAGCTCCATTCATTTCCAGTTCTCTGACACTACAAAAAAAGCTGCTGTAAATATTTTTATAGATATGAAGCTTTTGCCTCTCTTTGGGGTATAAGCCTAGTAATGCTATCACTGGATGTAAGGGCATAATTCCAAATTACTTTCCAGAATGATGGAGCTACAGCTTTAATTCATTTCTCTGGGCCTTTAAGTGTGAAGTCTTGAATTGGTGAGTTCCTCGGCAAGTAAATCCCTAAGACTGAGAAGCTTAGAGATCTGCCTATTTAAAAATATAGGGTTATAGATATAGCTTTAGAACCATGTAGACATGGGGAACTCTAGACCTAAACTTGTAGGACTACAGCTCTAAGGTCTTATAAGGGTAAGATTTGGGGACTCAGAGGCCTAAAAACTTACTCAAGAGATAGACATCAAGGCTTGGGAAATTTAGGGAAGGAAATCCTTGGACTTGTCAAGTTGAATTCTTTAAGTAAAATCTGCATTTTTATATTTTTGTAAATAATCACCTGTTCAAAATAGTTTCTAACAATTTCCTCTCTCACCCATTGTGAAATCTTTTTCATTTAAGATGTTGGCCATTTGCTTTTCCCCTCTTCTTTTGACCAAAATAGCAACTGTACACCTATTTTGTTACTTTGCAAAAACCCTGCCTAGTTTTATCTGTCAAGTCAAATAGTCATTTATTTTTTAGTTCCATACCTAATTTATCAGTCTCTTCTTTCTTTTGTTGAGGCTTAGTAACTGGGGTTGGTTTCATCGAATCATTGATAGAGATATTTTTTAGGAAAAATGGACTTGTCATCTTTACAAAAAGTCCTGATCTAGATCTGTTATGAATATTTTAAATAACATAACCTTTAATATTTAGGTCATGTATCCGTTTGTTTGTTAGGGTATGTGATATAAAATGTTTATCTAAACCTAATTTCTGCCAGACTGCTTTCTGGTTTTACCAACAATTCTTGTTATAGAGGGAGTTTTGGCCCAAGTTTATTGAGTTCTGAAATCCTACTCCATAATGAGCAAAAGTCCTTTAATTTTAGACTTTTTCCTCATGTTCCATAAAGATAGGCAAAAAGGAGATAAAACTATGCCTATTTTGCTGATAATATGATAATTGACTTGGAAATTCCTGGGCAATTAGCCAAGATACTAATACACAATATTTTCAGGAGGCTACAAAATGAACCCGAAAAAATCAACTACATTTCTGTATAATAACAACAACATCTAAGAGGCAATAATAAAAGGAATGTCCCCTTAAAAATAACAACAAAAGGCATAAAATGTTTGGGGCTCTATATACCAACACATACAAAATACTTGTATGCCTTAAAGAAACCAAGAACTTAAACATATGAAAGGGGAATAAAGACAGAAATCATCAAAACCACTTGGCAATAAAAATAGATTAGTAGAACAGATTAAACAAGAGAGAATCAGAAGCAATTTAACTCAGTAATCCAATGTTTGAAACACCCCCCCCCCAAATAAATTACAAGAACTCCTTATTTGATAAGAACTGTTGGGGAAACTGGAAAGCAGTCTGACTGAAATTAGGCCCAACCCAGTATTTACAGCTTAATTCCACTGTAGATTCAAAATACATACATGACCTTAATATTAAAGATCATACCATAAAAAAATTAGAAGAAAAGAACATCACATCCCTTTCACAGCTATGAGCAGGAGATATATTTTTAGCCAGAGAGTTGAAGACAGCCTTTAAAATGCAGAATGAGCCATCCATTTTTGAACATGATAAATGTAGGAATTTGCTTCACTTGACTACACATATTTGTTTTTGTTCCACTGGTATCTTTTGAGATCAGGAGAAAGCAGGGAAGGCATCCAGAAAGGGCATATTTAGGCTTGATGATAGGAAAATTTTTGCTAATAATTAGAAATAGTGTTGATGGAGATATTCTAGAATTCTGTGAATAGTCTCAATTCAGATTTTCAAATTTTATTCCAGGTGGGGAGATGGCCAAGATAGGAGTAGAGAATTCCTGATCTCTCTTGCAAACATCCCACTGGAGCTTTGAGAGAGACATCCCTCTAATAAAAGAATCACCTCAAGCCTTCCCAACCCAAACTAGGAATCTACTGAGGAGTCCTACTAAGATACACTGAGAGTGAAGAGCAACTTTGGGATCTTCTGGGTAGGTCCATTGGGATATTCTCTCTCCAATTTCTAAAGAGGGAGATAAAGGCAAAAAAGAGGACATAACCGGGAATGATAAAAAGAGAATAAAATGTATTAGAACACAGAATCTGATACATAGTTTACAAGAAACACTTAGAAAAAGAAAGATTCACGTAGAGTTAAAATTGAAGAGCTGAAGCAAAAGCTGTTATGCTCCAGATGAACTCAAATGCTCCAGATGAAAGCAAAAAAGCAGGGGTAACAAACATGACTTCAAATAAGTCTACTGAATTTATAGATAATATAAGAGGAAATAAACAAGGAACTTATAGTATGCTTAAACATACTATATATGCACCTACTAATACAGCATAGCATCTAAATAGTTAAATAGCTCATAAAACTATGAGTAGTTTAATGTCCACCTTTCAGACCCAGACAAATCAAACCAAAAGATAAACAAAAAGGAGTTAAGGACCTGAACAGAGCTTTAGAAAAATTAGATCTCTGGCAATTACTGAATAGCAATGGAAATCAATTTATATCTTAGCTGCATTGGCACCTTTACAAAATTTACTGTGTATTGGGGCATGAAGACCTCATCAGAAACATAGAAAAGCAGAAATATTAAACATATCACTTACTGATCAAAATTCAAGAAAGGGTCCTTAAAGAAAGGACTTAAAAGCAATTAAGGACAAACAAAATTCTAAGAACTGGCAAGTCCAAGAGCACATTATAGAAACAATAGAAAATTTCATCAAAGAAATGACAACATGCAAATACTTATGGCTTGTAGCTAATATTGTTGTTTCTCTCTAAACACTTTCTTTCATCAACAAAAGAAAGAATAAAGTACAAAATCAGATATGCAGTTTTTAAAAACTTGAACAACAAATAAAAATCCTAAAAAAGGTATGAAAATTGGAAATTAAAGAGAGTAATAAAATTAAAAGCAAAAAGATAATTGGATTGATAGATAAAAATAGGAGCTAGATATTCCCAAAAACCCTAAACAATTAAATTTAAGATATTATTAAACTATTTTGTCCATTTGTGTGCTAACAAAACTAATAACAGAGGAAATAAGTGAATACGCAGAAAAATATAAAATACCCAGATTAACAAAGAAGAAATAGGCTATTTAAATGACCGTATATTAGAAAAAAGTGAATTCTGTGCAACATTTAAGGAAAATTAATTCCAATACTACATAAACTGTTTACACTTAAGAAAAGGAGATACCTTTCTTGTATCTTTCTATGATATGAATGTCATCTTGCTACCTAAACCAGGAAGAGTCAAAACAGAAGAAGAAACCCAGAGACCAATATCCCTCATGAACATTGATGTAAAAATTTTAAATAAAATATTACCAAGTAAGACTACAGCAACATATGGGAAAGACTATACACTATGGGTAGGTTCAATATATGTGGAAGACAAATTATGTCAAAGATATGATTATATCACTAGATGCTGAAAATCG